AGTATTAGATTAGGATTTTTTTTTTGTATCATGGGAGCAAAGAAAACGTCAATGACGGTTTTAATTACTATTTAACCGCACATCATTTACTGTCATTGATTTTTTTGAATAATGTTTCCCAATGAATAGATTGTATTTGCTTCTTTAATAAGAATGAGCAAATTTTCCTATCTTACTTTGCACAAACCATGGTGATTCGACACACAGGTACATGCACTCTGAAGCTAATATTAAAAAGATGTCTGAGTTCATCATTGACAACCCGTAATCTGTTGAAATTCCCATGGGTGTAATTGTGTCCCTTTATTAGGAGATCTGTTTTTTGTATACTCAAGAAGCAGAATTAATTTAAAGAATTTAACATGAACATGAAGACATCTCTTGCTGAGGCCTTGAATTCGACATTATTAATATCGATATTAAGATACGTCGATGACGCTTTATCAATGAACAATATTGATTTCGTTCATATGTTGATTCGATATATCCAGATTTAACTCTTTACTAGAGAAAGATATTGATGGCAAACTATCGACTAAATTTTAGGATAAACGTGATAACTCTAACTTTTCTATCGTCAGCTTTTCTTATTTATTTTGCAATGTGCAATATTACATGCATATCGAGTTTGTGTCTCTCAGTGATTCGATACACAAGAGGATGTTCTATGTACGAACAAATACGTTGATGATATAAGGGTATCAATCTTCTCATGTACAGTCAACATTTTGCAAATTGTATGGTCGATTGTTGGTTGACTGACGTCTTTCATACAGACTGATGGGCCATTTTCTCATATTGAATTGACTGCGTATTTCTTCACTTACACGATCATGACAAAGGGCATACCGCGGGTGTGACCACTCCACAGGAAAAGCTTACTCTCCGATGGCAACTGATTCCACTTTGTTTGCTCTGCTCACAATTTTATTTTTAATTGAACCCTTCAACATAATCCTACGCAGCAGCTAATAATCAGTTGTATATCATAATAGACACCTGAAAGAAAGGGGGATAAAGGGATCATTTAGATGGTCATTCTACTACAATACGTAGTTCTTCTTTAATAACTTTTTTTTCAAAGACAACCATGAAGTTAGATATAAAGTGCACTGTACAACAACTGTATTTTCGGGATGCTAGAGGTTTCCTGCTATCAGTCCGATCTTATGTTAGAAGGAATGCAAAGTATGAAACAGATCAATTTATTTAGTTAGTAGTTACATGTACAAATATATATATTTGTGGTATCTCTCTCTTATATAAACATACAGCGAAGGCCATAGGTAATTACGTGACCTAATCAAACAGCGCAGTAATATCTACATAAAAAGACTTACTCTACTTAGCAATACAGCATGTTTTTCATGTATAAAAATGTACAAAATACGCAAGTAAAATAATAATCATTTTATTAACAATGTAAACGAGTATTTTACACAGTTCTTGATCGATTTTACATAGAGAATAGAAAACTACGTGTTATAAGTTTCATGTCTGAGCTGCATAGTCTCAACGTTTAAGTTACCCTTATTTTTCTTGTAGACCTCTGAATGCTATAAATTTTTTTTTCATTAAACTTTACTCACAATAAATTTGAAAATCTGTTGGAAAATATCAATATAATGCAATCACGCCACAAACAGCTGACAAACACTGCACTTCGGAAGTTCGGTAGACACACCTTCACCATCGAGATCGTTGTCTTAACAGTGTAAGCTGTCGCCAGTGTCAACATCATAATAAATATGCCTTACTGAAATCGTAGATATTATGTTTTTGATCCAATTTTATACTTGATTTCAAGTTAACTGGTCTGGACAATGTTCTCCATCCATCCCTTTCCGACCGAAATTCCTAAAACATTTAAATATCAAACGTGTTTCTTGTGTTTTTTTAACATCGAATATGGGTTCTCAAGAATACAAAAATTCCCAGACACCAATATGCTCACTATAATTGATCACAAGTAGCCTTTCACAGAATATTCCCTTCAAAACAGAATCCTGAATTTGAAGCGTAACCGCTTTTCAAGCCGATTTACACCTTGCGTAATTTGTCAAAATCTACGACGAACAGTTAGTGCAATATTTATATTCGATTGTCCGTCTCAAATGTATATATAAGTAATAAATAACAAGTTTAAAAACCTTCGGCCTTCACAGGATTTGATTACGTGACGACCCACTTCATTTCCCAGAGAAGTTTTTAAACTTGTTATTTATTTCTTAAATAAATCATGTATAACAACTTCCTGAGCGAACATAGGGCAAAACGCTGTAGACGGGGTCAATATTCAACAGGGTCAATTTTCAAAGCGTTTGTCATAGGTCCCGAAAAAATAAATTACTAAGATGTTGAAAAATGACCCCAGGTATAAATTTCACAACTTTTGGTCTCAATTTTCAACAGAGAAAAAGCACCCCCGGTTCAATATTCAACGTTGAAAATTGAACCCCGGGTCAATTTTCAACCCGGGTCAATACTCTACGTTACACCCGGCACAGATCAGTTTGCAATCACCTAGTATTTTATTCTGTTCTCACAACATTTTTAACGCTTTTGTCGTCTTTGATTTCTTAAATGGCTTATTTAACCTTGAAATAATCAGCTTCGATGCGAACATCGTCTTTTTGTTTTTAAACCAAATTACGTAAATGACAATTGTTTTAGCGCCATATGAGTTAGGTCAGTGAATAGTCGTTTTAACAGTTCTAGTCCAACAGTCTTCAGAACAGTCAAAATGTTAGGCTTTTTCGTGCAGGGTTAGATAGGAACTGTTATAGAGGGGGTATTAAAGCAGAGTTTGCTGCACATGTCCAACACCATCGTAAGTACTTATGGGATGTTTGCTTGCTATCAAAATTTCTCAGGATGACCATACCAATTCCGTGTTTTTTTTTGTTTTTTTTTTGTCGTATATAGACTATATAGCGGACTTTCGGCCGGTTATGACTGAGGCTTTAGATATTTTTTTTCAGATGACTTTAAATTATACTTTTGAACAATTAAAGTAGAAATAACATCATTATCTTTTTTTAATTGGTCTTCTAATGTTGTGTAAAACAAAACTAAATAAAATGCGTTAATGAACGCAAAAATCAACTTGGATTATTACGTCCACTAAACATTTCAGTTTACTAAAAGGTAATTAACTTGTTATTGCACTGCAATTGAATTCTGAACGCCTTTGTATTGACCAGTCACAATCACTTTTTTAGCAAAAATTCTTCTTAACTCGATTGTTTTTATTTTAAATACGAATCACACCTGGAGGCAAAACATTTTAATTAAACAATAAGGTTTTCATAACTCCCCGAGATATCAGAGAAAATATTGCTTGTTTGTAATATTGAACCAGTTTTGTAATGAACAAAGACTTCAAATATTCTTCCGATAATGGTCATACCTTTTATAATTGAAGCTTTCAAATAATCAGAAAAATCTCATTTAGGCTCAGATGAGAAAAAATCAATGTGGCAATCTTCTTATTTACTAGTAATCCTAACCCTCCGATTTAATGGTTGTATTTAATTTAAATGATTTGAAAGTATAAACATGCACTACTTGATATCATTTATCAACACAATTATGATACCGATACAAATCAGGAGTTTGATAATATATTTCTTTGTACGTATTATCATGTTTTTCCTGTTAGCACATGTCATAACTTCCATGTTCAAATTATTGCGTGAAATTTTAAAATTTAAATGATTGTATTGATGCAGAAATACACACAAAGACACGCTTATTCTTTTTAAAACTATATAAATGCAATATTCTGTTAAAAATGATTGAATTCAGAGACATATTAAATACCCTCCTAGACCAGGAAGAACAAACCACCTTGGAGAAATGGGCCATGTAACCAGCGCATGTTTTACACTCTTCTTTTCTTGTTGGAAAGACAGCCGCCATTACAGTCTACCGTCAGGTAAATCTTTCCATGTACTGTTGTTAATTTTGATGTTCCTTGATTAATGTTTTAGTCTTAATTTTTAATTAATCATTTGGAATACACATTATTCTTATAAAATCTTCATATTTAAAACTTTTATATATTTTGTTTAACTATAACATGTATAGATTCTTTACACCTCGATACATTTCTGTTGCAAAGATTATGCTCTCATAATTGCCATTCAATCGACCTGCTTTTTACACGAGTACCTTATTTCTACGAAAAGAACCCATTGTTAAAAATGATAAACAACATGCTGAATCTGCTTTATTTCAGAGCCAAAACGTTTAGTCATGGATCCTCATATTTGTGCCCAGGAGTTGATACGATGTGACCTGTGTGAGACTGAAATGGTACAGGTTCACTGTGATACATGCAACACCAAACTGTGCAACGCCTGTATTGGAGAGCACATGGCATCCGATGATCCAAGAAAAAACACGAGATTGTAAAATTCATATTTCGAAAATCATTTCTATTTTACCCTTCATGTTCCTTTCATGACAAAGAACAATGTGAAATGTACTGTAAGCAATGTGATGTTCCTGTGTGCCTCACATGCATTGCATCTGAACAACATTCAGGTCATACAATGTTGAAAATTTTTGATGAAAGAAAAGAAAAGATCATAAAACGACAAAGTGAATTAAATGAAATAATATTTCCAACTTACCAAGACATTTCATTAGATTTACAAAATGCCATAAAGCAGTTAGAAAAGGAATATGGAGATCTCAAGGCAGCAATAACAAAGAATGGGGATTCCTGGCACCGAAAAATTGGCAATATTATCAAAACATGTAAAGCTGAACTTGATGAAATGAAAAACAAACAAATACTAACTCTACAGAAGCATCTGGATGATGTTAACGAGAAAATGTCCGAAATAAGAGATGAAATTAACTCATCTGATATAGTTATAGACTCTCAGGGCATTACGTATTACACTTAATGTAGATTAATATACAAATCTTCCACAAAAAATTGTGCCATCTCTGCCTACATTTACTCCAAAGACAGTTCAAGGGGAAGAACTATGTTGCCTGTTTGGTACTATATCATCGGGTACATTTTTCTAAAAGAACATGGTTACAGTATCAAGACAGCACAAAAATTAACGGAAGCTGAAAAGTCTCATCCAGTCAAACAGCTGCTTGATGAACCAGAGATAATCACTACAATCAACACAAAGTATAGAACAAACCTAAACAAAGTTGCCTGTCTGAATGATGAAGAAATCTGGACTAGAGAAAATGAGAACACAATGAAGCTGTTTAACATCTGTGAGGGTTCACTACTTAAGTCAATCACAACCAAATCAGGAAATCTACCAACAGTCATAGCAGTAACAAAAGATGGCCATCTTATTCATGCTGATCATAAACAGAAATCTGTTAACATTGTGAAGAATGAAGAGATCGAGACACTGATAAGACTAAAGAAATGGAGGCCTCGCAATCTCTGCATGACCTCCTCTGGTGACCTCCTGGTTGTCATGCACCGTGATGATTACAAACAATCAAAGATCGTCCGCTACTATGGCTCCACAGAGAAACAAACGATTCAATTAAATGATGATGGTAAACCTAACTATTCATCTGAAGACCCGAAATATATAAGTGAGAATAAGAACCTGGATATCTGTGTGGCAGACTATGCTCTTAAGGTAGTAGTGGTGGTCATAATGCCGGGAAACTGAGATTCAGGTATACTGGACATTCTCCTGCTCCCATGAAAAAACATTCAAACCAGTGGGGATCACCACAGACGGTCAGAGTCACATCCTTACAGCCGACATTAAAACCAGTGTGTTCACATCATAGATCAGGATGGGCAGTTAATAGCTTTCAAAGTTTGTGGACTGAGTAGTCCTCTTGGACTGTGTACAGATACAAATAACAATTTATTTGTTGCTCAGTATAATAACAGTGATGAAAATACAATATCTACAGAAAAGTTGAATTCATCGGTCACTGAAATTACAACAGCGGACTTAAGAATGATCGGCAACATTATACAATAGCTTTCACCTGTTCATCATTTGTAGTTGCATTAAAAGTATTTCTTGTTAAATGTTTGTCAAAAATGGAAAAAAAAATTATGTTAAAGCAATGTTATGCTTGTTTCAGTGAACTACGACAGCACCGCAATTTTTAACACTTTACCACATTAATTTGTCATACAGATACCTGTTTTTTTAATGCACCAAATTTCCTATTGAAGTTTACTGCTCGTCATTATCGTATTTTATCGAATAGTATTTACATTAAAACAAGATTCCTTTCAATGATATTAATTTTTTGACCTACACAACTAGTGCGGAGAATTTAAAAAAAGTAAGAATGCCTTTAGCTGTTCACAGAGTTTCCCGTTAAATCAAATTTAAGAGGGGAGTGTGAATGTGAGAGAATATGAACAAATATTTCATTATGTAACTTGATGTATCATTCTTTGAAATAAAACTTTTAAAAAGTTCACAAAGAGATGACCCTTTTACATGAAATGCGTCGTGGTTTCCAATTATTCAAAAAGTGCTCAAAATTCAATTCACATGCTTTTATAGGAGAGTAACTCGTTTCATGTTCTGTATTCAGTAAGTTAGTAATAACATTGGGTATCTGCAACTTGAGAAAATTCTGCAACTTTAATGTCTTTAGATTTCAGTCTAAGTTTCAGTCTATGTCTAAGTTTCAGTTTGCGATCCGCTTCCTTCATTTTGACCGTTCTGGATCACTGCAATCTTAACGCCAGTGATATATTAAGATTGTCGTACATCACACAGTTCTTTCCAGACACATTTTCAACAAAGATGAAATATTGAATAAAATTATTTTTATAAGGTATTCAATTAATAGATAATTATTGATGGTGTTTTTAATAAATATAAACAATAAATATTTATAATTCAAAATAATAATCCTTGGTGACCATAAGTTTTCAAAATTATTCATGTAAATTTTTTTATATGAAATGCATTTATCTATTTTGTATGTTAGAGTTAAAAATGTATCAACCCGAAATCATAAGTATTTTGTTCCGTTTCAATCAGGAAAAAATATATTGCTTTGTAGATAAAAAATAAAATTTACTACCCTATTAGGCAAAAAAAAGGAGTTTCACCAAAAATGATATTAAATGTGTTAAACCCAGCTCCTTAAGAAGTGTTTTGTAAATATGTGCATATCAAGATTACTCTACAACGAAGAGATTTTTTTTTAATTCAAAGTACATGTACTGTTTCTCTCTCCTCTTTGTAAAAAGTACAGTGTCATTGGATAATTTGCATTTATTTTCTTCAAATAATAATTTTCTGGATTATTTTTCTTATCTTAGAAAATGCATTAAAAACAGATACTTTTTTTATTCAATAGACATTAATTTACATCTATCGCTTCCTTATTTAAAAAAAAATTAATAAATAAATAAAATAAAATTAAAAAAAAAAAGTTGGGGTGGGAGGTTGCAGATTTTTTCTGTCTCAGTTATACTACTAGCAACCACAATGTGACATTGAAAAATATCCTTGAATTTTCACATCTTTTTACAATTATACACTTTAATAAACAACATCATATTTCTATTTTCTAAAATTTAATCGAAGAAATGGATCCAAAGAAAAACCAAATGATAGAGTTAACATGTGTTTAACCATCTGATAATTTCACAATCGTTATAACGTGAGACATGTATATGTACGCGTAGAATATCATTACTTCATCTAGTTTGGTCGCGTCTCCATATGAGTGAAAAATTCTCAAGAGAGACGTTAAACAGCAATCAATCAAACAATCAGCTAGTTAGGTCACCTGCGTCACTCAGGCGACCTATTGCTATCCGTTTTCGTCCGTCGGCGTGCCTCGTGTGTTGTGCGTTAACATTTGAACATTTTTAGCTTCTTCTCTGAAACCGCTTAACCAATTTCACCAGATTTGGCATATAGCATCTATGGGTGAAGGGACCCGAAAATTGTGAATTTTATGGTTCCTGCCCCCTGGGGCCTGAGGGGTGGGGCTAAAACCACCAAAATTAATGCAAATATCTAAACATCTTCTTCTTTACTCCTGGACACCAAGCAGTCAAACTGTTGGCATGATTGTAATAAGAATTGAGCCCTCTACAAAATTGTGAAATTCATGGCCCCAGGGTCAGGGGTTCTGGTGCTAGGGCGGGGCTATGTAGATCATATAGTGAAAATGCATTATTTCTTTGAAAATCTTCTTCTCTGCTCCTGGGTATTAAATAAAGTAATTAATGCCCTGTTCACACGGAGAGTTTAATTCGAATTAAACGTAAGTTACTGCGAATTAAATTTGAACCGCGTTCACACGGAGAATTTAATGCGAATTAGTTTAATTCGAATTAATTTACTGCGCATTAAATTACTTCGCATTAGCTCCGTGTGAACGCCAAGCGAAGCTAATTCGAATTAAATTTTGACGCATACGTAAGGGCAGAATTAAGTCACAGGCCACATGTCGATGGTCAGATATAGGTACTTGTGCTATTTTTGAGTGGAAAACAAAGGAAAATTATGATAATCACTAAAATGTGTACAGACACTATGACATTATGTCAAATCAGTGGTCAAATGTATCTGCTTGGCACAATGTGACGTGATTCGCAAAATGACGTCATAATAGCCTTACTGAATAGCCTTACTGTAGAAATAAAAATTTAATTCGCATTAGTTTACTTCGTATTACCTGTCGTGTGAACGCAATTTAATTCGCATTAGTTTAATTCGCATTAGTTTACTTCGCATTAATTTACTGCGAATTAAATTCTCCGTGTGAACAGGGCATAAGAACATACTTATGATGAGCAAGAGTGCCTCTTTCAAAATTGTGAATTTCATGGCCCTAGGTCAAGTCTTCCCGGTGTTAGGGCGGGGCTCTATTGATTATATAGTTAAAATACATTAATTCTTTGAAAATCTTCTCTGCTCTTGGGTATTAAATAAACTATTCAAGAACATAGTTATCGTGATCATGGTTGCCTTTTCAGAAATTGTGAATTTCATGGCCCCAGGGACAGGGGTTCTGGTGTTAGGGCGGGGTTCTATTGATTATACAGTGAAAATGCATTAATTCTTTGAAAATCTTCTTCTCTGCTCTTGGGTATTAAATAAACTAACTTAGTGCATAATTATGACGAGCATGGTTGCCTCTTCCAAAATTGTTAATTTCTTGGCCCCTTGGTTGGGCTCTATTGATTATATAGAAAAAATGCATTAATTCTTTGAAAATTTTCTTCTCTCTCCTGGATATTTAATAAACTAAGTTCATAGTTATGATGAGCATGGTTGCCTCCTCAGAAATGTGAATTTCATGGCCCCTGGGTCAAGGGTTCTGGTGAAGGGGGGGGGGCTCTATTGACTATATAGTGAAAATGCATAATTTCTTTCAAAATATTTTTTCTACTACTGGTTATAAAGCAAAGAAACAAGTGTATAGTTTTGATGAGCAAGGGTGCTTCTTCCAGAATTGTGAGTTCATGGTCAATAAGTCAGATGTTCTGGTGTAAGGGTGGGGCTTTATTTATTTAATAATATAGTGAAAATGTATTTCCTTGAAAATCTTCTATGCTTCTGGGTATATTCGAGACAAACAGAGTAAAAGTTTTAATATGCAAAGGTATTTTTACCAGAATTTTGAACAACTGGACCATTAATATTTAATCAAGTGTTGTAGGTCCTGGCCAGGGCTCTATTAACTTGTATTCTGCTAGGCAAAGCTATTCCCCTTTACCATTCACCTTTGATAATGAATCACTGTAAACAGTGTATTTGAAAGGTTAATAGAATACAAGAATTATGCAAGAATATTTGTTGTATAATACAAAAAAAAATTTCATAGTTTTAATGATCAGGTAGACTTGGAAATAATATATGAATAAAAATGAGACAAAAATAACTTCTCTTTTTAAATGTTCTTCAAAGGCCAAGAGAGGTCAATGTGAGAAGTAATAATATGGGGTTAAAAAATAGACATTTTGTTAATAGTCTGCATGGTAATAGTGATAAATGGGGGACAGATAGATACTAGACCAATTTATTTGTTGATTTTAATCATACTATTTTTCTTGGTTTTAGGCAACAAAGCTTCATTCATCAGTTTATGGATCCTCTAAATTGTTGTATCGTACTCAGGTGAGCGTTAAGGCCCTTGGGCCTCTTGTTATTAACAGTGGTGTTTGCAGTCCATCTATCTATAGAATCAGTTAACGAAATTGGTACAAATCATTATTGGTTGAAAGGAGTTGTAAGTTAATTCTTCGGCAAATGAAGGACCATATTCCCTTTCAAGGAAAGTTAAAAGGAAAAATAAATATGTGAAAAACAAAGGCATTTCAAACATGTCCAATTAATGATGTCATCTATAGTTTCTTTATAATACTATTTATGATGAAATGGCATATCAGGTGTTCCTTAATCTGAATGTTTAACAAAGGACATTGAACGGGATGTACTCTTTTTTTTTTTTTTTTTTATTATTTTATTAAATTTTATTCAAATAAATGAACATTTAAATCTTCTTTGGCTGCAGTCTGCACCTGAAATAAACAAACAAACCACCCTTTTTACCAAATGTCGTCAACTTTTAAAGCTCTCTTAAAGAACCCCCTTTCGTAAATATGAATAGACCTAATATCTTTATGTCTGAATCACAATATTGAACTAGTGAATTCTTCATGTGTGAGTATAAGTAAATAAATTAACAAAGGTTATACCAAACAACTATTTGTATAGGGACAAAAAGTTATGCTTATCTCTCCGTAGAAATTCAATACATGTTAATGATGTCAGCAGTTAGTAATATTAGTCCCAGATCACTTTTTGTGCGTCTGTAAATAGTAATCAGAACGCTGAGTTCAGATGAGTAGAACTCATGAAATGTAGTAACAAACATTATTGCAGTCAAAAGTTGCCTACAAATCCAGTATTAGATCAGGTTAATAAGTACCCATCTATATTCCTCAACAACTATTAGTGTAATCATCTGACAGAGCCCTCAGAGTTCGTATCTTTACCAGTTAGACCCTCTATGACTTCCAATATATGACGATTTGGTACCATATCTTGTTATACAAGATTCTTTGAAAATTTGTAAATGATTAAAAGTTGTAATAATAATCACTTTCAATTATATTACTTGTCATCTTGTCATTTATTGATAATGACAATTAAATAAATAAAATAAATGTCAATATATTATTCACATGATCATTCATCCATTTGTTTATGACATTTGTTTCCTTTGTTCATGTTCATAGTGGAGAAAGCCAAATTCGTAACATAAACAAGATTTTAATGAAGAGGAAGATTTTGTTTAAAATTCAAATAGAACCCCGAACTTGGCCGAGTTGTAGTGTGAACAGCGTTTCCTGGATATACTTTTTATTGGATTGTACGAGATTTTTGTGAAAAGGAGATTTTGAAATTGAAATTTCCACTGCCTCATTATGGTAATCGTCGTAGACCTGAATCCAGAGTCGACATTGTGCAATTGATACAGAGAAAGTGTTGAGTGTATTAAAATTTTGAATAAACTTTAAGGCAGCAGCGTGGAAGCAAAGCATATATACTATTGGATAACACAAAATGTTATTGTTTCATGCTTAAACATAATGAACAGTCACATATGTATTTGTTTAACTATTACAAAAATATTGAAACAAACATAACAAAATTTATACGAGGCTTACAAATGAATTGTACAGTTTGTCTTTATTTGCCTTCCCTCTCTATCAGGATAAGCTAGTATTTTGTTGTCACAAAATTAATTAATTTGACTTGAAATGAAATCATCATTATTTATATAGGATTAGTTTTGCCTCTGTTGGGCCAACGTTGGAAAATCACTGTCGGTTAATGAACAAAAACCACCGTTGGGCCAACACAAAAAAGGACACTGGACCATTATTGAGCCACTTAGGGTAAAATCAGTGTTGTTTAACACACCCCTACTAATGTTATTGTGATTTAAATTCAAGGCACGTGGTGTAGGTTGACCCATTCAAAGGTTATAGAGAAGAACCGATTTTATAAATAAAATTGGCAGTAAACAGGAAATTGCTATAATCTGTTTCTTTTAAAAACTTTCTAAAAGATTTTCAAGATTTTAAACAGAAATGGGTGGGATTTAAAAAATCACAATCTACTTAATTAACGGCGAAAATTGGAGCTTAGTAGTGGTAATTTTTTCCAAAATCGCCCGATACGCTGGTAGAAAAAAAATGTATATGACAAACTTTGTTTACCTTATATGGCTTTTGTTATTAATACGCACAGAGGATCTTACCACCATCAGTTGACCAATCATTGAATGAATAGCAAAGTTAACTTGACACCTATATGTTTACATTTTACTTCGAACACGTGGTTCAACTCAATCTACGATCGATATTGAATGGATTGCAAAATAAAAATTAAAAAAAAATTAAAAAAAAAAAGGTTTATATGAAAAACTATAAAGAGTAGAAACTATGAAAGATGCCACGGGCGTTTGTAACTTGTTGTTACGTTGTGAACCAGAAAATGCATATAAAAATGTAGTCTGTACCACGTTAAGAACACTAGCGCTTCAAGGTCAAGGAAAACGAGAAGCATTCCTAACAGTTCATTGGACTTTTTATTCATATTACAATACCCTTGATCATCTGTGCTTTTTGGTCAGGGAACCCACCTGACAATTGTATTCACCGATAGTACAACAAAGGAATGCAGACGAAAACCGCCATACAGTATGACTTTGATAAACCTAGAATTCCACGTTTATTTAACATGTTCCTAATGAATTGTTTGTAATTGTGAGCATCAAAATAATAGAATAAAAATGAACAGCATGAAAATACATGCAACTGCATGGAAAAAATGTTCTATGTGCCTTTCCGATCGCCTTGTTTTTTATTTTTCAAGCGTAAAATTCCTGCAGTATCCGTAGTAACCCACAATGCAATTCAACTCATTCAGATTAAGCTATATCGGTACCCCATTTGCTAATTTATCGCCAAAAAATATAGTCCCAGTTCCCATGCAAGCATGTTTGTCCAAAAAGAAATTATAATACATGAGTGCAGAAAATAATGTCATGAGAAACACTTTGGATGAATTCAAGAGATATTGAAGTACATTTCTACAGATATTATTCAGTGGTGAAAAATGAAACGCAAGATAACTTTTCTGTTTACCATGTATCCACGTGCTAGTCACTCCCTAGTCATATTTCCGTGAATAATTTACCTTATCTCGTTGTAGTCTCGCTAGATCTCGCCAGAGCTACTGTGAGAGCTACTGGGAACTCCTCGGATTTTATAATTTGCAGAACACCGAAAAATAAAATGTTCCATTAGTAGGGATGTAACAGACGTTGGGCCATTGGTGGGCCAACACAAAAAACCACTAGGCCTTTGTTGGTACAATCACTGTTGGTCATGGACGTTGGTCCATTGTTGGACATTTATTGATTAAATGGAAATAAAATGGACAAACGTGGTGCCAACGTTAGCCCAACATGTTGACTGCGCACCACATTAATTTTTCGAGGGGAGGGGGAATTAATAGTATTTGAACGATAAACAGATGAATAAATAATGATAAAGTACTTATGTAGTATCATTTCCAGTGCACTTAAATTGATATGTACCCGCCCTTGCGATTTTAGTAAACATTATACAACTTCCTTTTTTTTCTTTTCTTTTTTTTTAAATCACAACAAAAACCCAAATTATTATAATAATTATTGGGGTTTTTGTCCTTTCAAATACTTCAAAGATTAAATCCATCTAACATTTGGCCAATGGATCACATTTTCCATAACCCATCCGTACACGGATTGATGTCTAGTCGACAAAAAATATACATAGTGAATTTGTGTTAACAAATTTTCCATTGAAAGCAAGATATGAAAGTGGTCTACAATACGAGAAACATGTTTAATCAAACTATTGATGATACGTTGTTCATCAATTATCTGTCATTAAGCACGTTTTCTTGTAGTCAGGACAAAGAAACCGGACTAGTCCAACAAGAAATATTTATTTTTAAATTGTCACTTGCCTGTCGAGAACAATTTAAAAGTACATTTCATTGACTTAAACAGTTAAATGGACACAGACGAACTTGTTGAATACACTGTTCAACTTGAAGAATAGATTTTATATTTCTATTTCTAATTTTCAATGCCTATTACATAAGCAGTTAAAAATAGCATGGCATTGATCGCCAGCCCATTTGTCCTTTTAAATTCTTTATATTATCTCATGCGCTGCTATGGCAGGCTGGATGTGTAAAAAAAAATGCCTTAACTCAAAGAATGCACAAAATAATTATAGCGAGCGCAGGGAGCCAGCGCCGCTCGTCACTGCGAGCTCTTAAAGCAACGCCTGGGCGAAGAGAAAATTCGGACTTTATACATTAATCCAAATTATTTTCTTTCCGCAGTTACCTGTGGTCCCATAATGCTTAGCGAATTGCACCTCGCCGCAAACTACGTTCTCGCGGTAGCAACAAAAATTCTACAAAAAATAAACTCACCTTGATTTAATGAATATATATAGCAGACAAATAGTAGATCTAACGTTCTTGATTAAAATTAGCACTTTTCAGACTTCGTTTTGATAATGCAACAAACATACGACGTCATATGACGTCAGAGTCTAGACGTAGGAAATGTCACGTGCAGTTTGACGAGCCCGATCTAAATAAAAACTGAAAGGTATCTGCGCTCGCTCTAACGGTCGCACCTTCAACATATTACATCGTGGAGGAAAGTAGAATAAGCTGATTGAACTATACACAGCCAACAAGTTATATGCATAATCATTGAGATAATAACAACCATAATGTGAGAAAAACATAAAAACATATATAATAAAAATGGACAAGTAAAAATACAAAAATCGACAGTAAAGTCTACATATGTTTATAATTTTTATACTATTCAGGGTGACTGGCAGACCTAAAACATGTAATTTTTTGTTTAAAATAAAATAATATTTTCAGTTTGAAATGCAATATCTCTTACTACTAATTAGGGAACGAATCTAATAGCTACCCAAGTTATACTGTATAACCTGGGTTGGGTCAGTTTACGTTTTATAAACCGCTTTGCAGTTTATAAAAAACGTGAACTGCTCCAACCAACATTATACCAGTATAACTTGGGAAGCTATTAAATTCATTCCATATAATTTAATTTAATTTATCGGGGCAACTGGATATACAACCATACATGTCTGATATGCCATCGAGGTTAATTAGTTCAGAAAATTGAAAGAAAAACGGCAATATTACCGATAACAAAATCGCTTACAGCGAACGAAATCGGCTTCTGAAAACCATCCGTTTGTATTCCGTTCCAACCTGTATTTATTTACGCATCTGAAAATTGGTATTCTGTAATTTAAATCCGACGAGTTCAAATGAACGGTCATACAGGGACTGCTGATCAACAAGTCTTTAAGCCAGAAAAGACACGAATATGATACCAGTGACCAATATTTTATAAATCCTTGGTTTAATTTTTTTTCATGAAGTAACCCAAAACCAATAACATAAGATTGAATTGTAAACGGGGATCTAGGGACAGCTAAAAAAAGATAATACAGTATATTTTATTTTGGAAGGGCATAGAAAGAGAAAATGACCAGGATAATATTTATGTTCAAAAGACTAAGAAAGGGGGGGGGGGTTGACACACCAAATTAATATATGCAAATTATTTTATCAAACAATTAATTTCAGGTATGAGATGAGTGCGAAGGTCAAGTACATCTCTCTTTTTCATGAATATCCCCATTGATCAGATTAGGGAACTCTCATACCTAAAGTGCATTATATGACACATTCATACAAAACTGCCTGAGTATAGTTCATCTAACCTGAGGGATCCATTGACGACATGCACAAAACATAAGCGAGATACTGAATTTAATTCTGCAGATTAATGCATTTCTAATGATATGACCAAGTTCGAACAAATTGACAAAATACACATATATAAAAACAAATAACAAAAATATCCCTATCAATAACCAATCATTTTAAATAAAATCAACACATCAGAAAAAAAGTTCAAAGTGCTCATTTTTTCTTCAGTGGATAGTACAATGTCTCTTAGAGTTCATGTCAATCATGAAGAAGGGGTAAGTTCACTGACGAGCAAATCTTGTGCGTCTTGTGGCAATGAGCTCTTCTTTCCTAAATGTTCGTAATGTGACGTCAGGGCCGGAGGCTGGTATCTAGGAGATCTGTTGGCATCCTCAGAAGATTCTGCTTAAGATGGGAATTGCCTCCTCCGTTTAACAAGACTGAGTCGCAAGTTTTCAACATAATATGAAAAAAGGATAACAAAACTTATAATCATGATATTTCAACGACTTTTTTAAAGAAATGACTTTTTTTTTTGGAAATGCATATTTTCTAATTCCCAACATTTACTATAAAAAAATTCATCTTTATTGGCCTTTGACAATTTACGTAGATTGCAATAAAGTTAATTTATATTTTATTTTACTTTGACTGCACAAATGCCATAAGGACCTTGTTGGGTTTTGTAACAGTATGGTTACCCCCTCCCCCACCCCCTGCCCTTTTGGTGACTGATCTGCAATCGTGCTGCACCAGTTCTAGTAGTTGCCTGGTGGCGCCTTCCATTCCCGTTGAAGTGGAGTGCTGCTACACATAATCTACAAAGGATTAAGAGAAAAAAAAAAATAGGAATCAGCTGTGAGTATTTTCTCAAAATTAATATCTGAATGTGATCGAGTCCAGTTTGTTTTCTGTTATATTTGTTACTATTGCATTTTAAATCAAGTTACACGGAGTCGCCCGAGTGGTTAGAGTGTCTGCTCTAGAGTCGCAGAGTAAGGAGTTAATCCTTACGTCGCGGTTTCGAATCCACTGTGGGACATGGAGACCGGTCCTTCGGATGAGACCGTATAAACCGAGGTCCCGTGTCGCAGTAGGTGCTGGCACGAAAAAGATTCCTTACTGATCAATGACCGTAAGTGCCGAGAATAGGACAAAATTTGCAGCTCTCCACCGGCAAGTGGTGGCGTCTCCATATGAGTGAAAAATTCTCGAGAGGGACGTTAAGCAACATACAAACAAACAAGTTACATGGCCATAATTGCAGGATAATAGATTACTGTATATTCACATAAAATCTACATATATGTACATCATTGGTATGTAATTAAAGAGATATTAAAGCTATAAATCTCATAAAAAGTCATAGAGCAAAGTTTCATAGGAAATCAAAGTATTTCTTATAAGAAACTAAATTTTTCTTCGGGATATTGTTATATTATAACCTGTTTGATGTCATAATAACAAGAGGACTTCAAGTATTTGTTTTTAGATAGAACTAGTCGATCCGAGATTTTTTTCTTCTTTTTTTTAATAATTAAACAGACTCGGTCTATCTACATTTCTATACCTTTACACATGATTCAAAACGAATAAATGATAAAATACATTTTATTTTGGAAAAAATCAGTACATGTATTATAAACGGATATGACGAATTACGGATAACGCATTCCAAAATCAAAACAGAATTTTTTTTTTTCTGTTTTAGGCATTTTGCCCTCAGGTATTGACAAAATCTAAC